ATTACCTCCACGTGGTACACCCTGGACAACGTATACTCATACGGCAAAAAAGTCTATTAACTGGCAGTTGACTTCTGACTTCAAACTACCCTCACCCCATTGTATGTCATATTCGACTACTTCCACAGTACTCACCTCACCTTTTTCACTCAACTTTGTGTCTGTCTCTTTTACATCTTTGAAACTCTCTTCTGTTCCCCCTCTCCCTCTCGCCTTGTTTCACTTTGATGTTCCTCCTCCTCTGTGAAGCCTGAAGTCAACTAAAGGGCTAATGATAACTTTCATAACGCCTGCCATTTGATATAAATAAATAATGGAGACGCTATCGAAATCCCTCTACTCCACTCTCTTGATAACTTTGAGGAGGAAAGGAAGTGACAAAAAAAAGAGACTTAGGACAAGACAAAATCACATGAAAATTAGGAGACAAATGGTTAATCGCATGTTGCACGCCAGTTGGATATTGAATGTCGTTGCATATAATAGAACTAACAAATCAGTAAGAAAAGAATGAATTTTGTTAATCGAACTCGTAGGAAAATGCAACTTAAGGAAGCAAGGCAGTAATCTAACTCTAGCCAAAGTTGGTGTTACATGTGTGGCGGCGTTTTACGCAAGTGACAAGTCTGCGCAAAATTATGTTTAGAAGACAAAAAAAGCCTGAGTTCTGGGCAAGTAGTAGAAATATAAACTCAAGCTGCAGGTTACTATCGGTAATAATTCCAACAATGCTCAGTAAAAATATATCCGTTTTATAATGCTTTTCTTCTTCCGGGGGAAAAAAACTTGCATGAAATCGGCGAAGAATGTTTTAAAACCCCACTGCTATATAAGTGGTAATGGCTTTAAATTCGGTTAAATGGGATTATTTTTAGAAGCATGCTGGAATCTACCCCGTGACATCTGACAAGACTGACACCCGACGACCAAATAAGTTTCTTAAAGGATTACTGATGTCGATATTGATGGTGTGAACTCAGACAGCAGCTGAAAATGGTGTCACACAATCCAAAAAGAAAATGTCAGAACGTCGGACAGCATACATTTGAGCCCATAATGTGGTCATCACATTAAGAATGTAGCATAAAATTTTCATTAAAACTATACCTATATACGTCTGCCTATATTGAAAAGCAAGTATTTTAAATATTTATCAACTATGCTGTAAAAGGGAGAACGCGAAAGGTTTATTTGAAGTACACGTTGTACTTATGCGCTATATTTAAACGCGATTTGTATAACCATCCAGAAATGCATTGAAGAATCGGTGACCGAGAATTCAGAAAAATTATTAACGTGAGGAGCTGTACTCAGGATCATCTAAACACCATAAAGAATCGTAAAGATACCTTTTCCTTCTCGAAGGCAACTGCGAAGGTCAGTTCGGTTATGAGGGCATAAAAGACTAAAAATCAATGATTTCGAGAGATCTCGAATGAAGAACCTGTGAATGTGACCAATGATCGCGCAAAAAATATATAAGTCTTAGTAACCAACAAAGTGGATTTGTAAATAGACAAGATCACTACTATTAATAACAGTAAACATAAGGGTATAAAATGCGATTATATACATTGACAACACAAAGTCAGAAAGTGAAAATGCGTACCTTGAGCAAAGGTGGAATAAAAAGAACGAAGAGGAGGACATTTTTTAGGCCTGGCAGGAATTGGAGGAGGGGAAGACAGAATCTGACACGGTATGCCTTTAGTAATTCCAGTTGAAGTGGGATGAGTTACGGAAGAATTACTAAAATATCAAATGGGGTCAAGTAGAAGTTTAAAAAGTAAAGCGACAATATTGATCCTAAATAAGGTAAAACACACCTATTTAATTCTTTCACAAGAGATGCTGCCAAATCCTTCATTGGAGGTATATCGTCGACGTCGCCATTGGATTCATTAATAGCATTTTGAAGACGTCTCTGAATCGCACTTTCACCCTTTAAATCTGACAGAAAGGACGGGGTTCGCGAATTGATTTTGGAGAGTGGAGGCCGCCTGGAAACAAAAATGTTGCTTGAAACCAATACACTCATATATACTAGTAATTTTCACAAAGTCAAAAATATTGCTTACTCTGGTGTTAGGGCCGAACTATGAATAGCATCGTCCTCTCCACACAAATCTTCAATGGGTAGAGGCTTGCCGCATTGAAACAACTCACGCATTAAAGATACGCGTCTTAAGAATAAAATAATGTCTTTCAGCTTACCCATTTTTCAAAAGCCCTGGGATTTCAAGGCTGTCATATCGAGCAGAACTTGCTGGTTTTAAAACAACTTCAGAGCTGGTAGGCTTATTCATATTGATTAATATACTCTTCTAATATGGCATCATTTCATATGTTACAAATTGGCAAAAAATAACGACCTTTGAGAAATAAACCAAATACCGTCGATAGATTGCAAAGAATCGCTAAAAGAGCGTCCAATAAACTTCAGGGTCATTTAACTATTTTTTTGAATAATACAAACAATACGAGACAAAAGTATTAGCAGCTTAGAAAGACACAATTATTAAATATTTTAAAAAGCATTAATTTTTTTAATCATATGGCTGATTGGGCTTAGTTTTATTTGCGTCAACAATATAATAGCATTTCAAAATCAAAACTGATGTTAAGGTATTAAAATAGACGCTTTGGCCTTCCAGATGTCTATACATCTTTCTATTTAACGTTTTTAGCGTAATTATATTTTCTACTTTTTCATTAGTATAGAGGCCAATAATCATTGCTACCTTTCATGATTACCAAGGTTACTTATTCAATCATTGCAAATTACACCATTTCCGGCCAATATTATTCCCTTCAGGCTTCCTTGACGTTGCTGCTTAAAAGAAATAATAATCACTGCATAATTTGGGCTGAAAAGACCGAATCAATTATTTCCTAAGGTATGAATGAAATTATTACGAATTTTTTTCCGCAGAAGCAAGAATCAATTTTGTCCTTAATCCTTCAGATAGGCATATCTACCGCTTGTTTCAGAAAGCACTTGAGCTTGCTAATAGGTGATCAACATGGGCTTTTGTCTTGTGATAAAAAGGAAAAGTTCTTTGATAAGCATTTACTTTTATTCTTCATGCTCAGCACATTCATTGTTCCCATGAGTATAAAATCGTGCACATATTTTACAGTAATCAAATTCCTCAAGCCTATATATTCTATTAGATCCTGTGTGAGACTATTGAAACAGTTTAATGAGGGAGGAATAAAGCTCAAACAATCAACTCTTTGACATTATCTTTAGAAAATTGGGGTGTGCGGTAGACTTACCTCCACTTGGAGCACCCTGGGCAACGTATACTCATACGGCAAAAAGTCCATTAACCGGCAGTTGACTTCTCACTTCAAACTACCATGGCCTGACTGCTTGTCATATTCGAACCCTTTCACAGTACGCATCTTACCTTATTCTCTACCTTTGTGTCTGCCAGCCTCTTTTACATCTGTGAATCGCTCCTCTGGTCCCCACCCGTCGACTTTCTGCTACTTTGATGAACCTTCCTTCTGTGAAGCCCGAAGTCAGCTAAATGGCTAATGATAGCTATCATAACGCCTGCCATTTGAAATAAATAAATCTCAAGAAAA